GTGCCGGAAATCGTCTTTCCGGCCATCTCGCTCTTAGCCATCATCCGCATGCCTTTTATGTTGATCCCCGCGACGTTTAACTTCGGGGTGCAGTTCATCGTCTCCATGGCCCGTATATCCGCCTTCCTCGAGTGCGAAAACTCCCCGCACGGCGTTCTCGACATCCGCTTCCACAACACCGCGCAGAGAGCGAGCGGCGAGTCGTGGTGCGAGTTGGCCGCCCTCTTTGAGAATGCTGACATCACGGCGTTCGTGCCTGTGAAGCTTCCGCGTGCGCCTCGCGTGGTTCTCTCCCTCGCCACTCGCTTCATGCGGCGCTTCTGCTGCTGCGGCTCCTGCTACCCGGGCAGGAAGCGGCACTCGCCGACGCGGGTGCAGCAGCCGCTTAGCGGTTCTGTCCCGCCAACCAAGGCGGGGCAAGACGACACCAAGGAAGGAGGGAGTGCCGCGACAGACGTGTTGACAGAAGATCGCTTTGAGTTGGTAGCGAGGGATATTTTAAGGGGCGTCTCCATCGAGGTACCAAAGGGCAAACTCACTGTGATCATTGGGCCCACTGGAAGCGGTAAATCGACGCTCTTGGCGGCACTGCTGGGGGAGTACGAGGTGACGCGCGGTCGTGTGTGGGCCACGCGAAGCATTGCGTACGTGCCGCAGCAGCCATGGATCATGAACGCGACGCTGCGTGAGAATGTACTTTTCTTTGCTGCGGAGGACCCCGGGAGGCTGCGGGAGGCGGTGCGCGTGTGCCAGCTGGAGCCTGACCTGAGGCTGCTGGCGGGCGGGATGCAGACCGAGATTGGCGAGAAGGGCATCAACCTGAGCGGGGGGCAGAAGGCGCGCGTGGGTCTCGCGCGTGCGGTGTACGCCGACCGCGAGTTGTACCTCTTGGACGACCCGCTCTCCGCGCTGGACGCCCACGTTGGCGAGCGGGTCGTGAGGGACGTCCTGCTGGGGCAGCTGGCGCACAAGACCCGCGTGTTGGTGACGCACCAACTGCACCTGCTGCCGCAGGCGGACACCGTGGTGGTGATGGGCGACGGCGCCGTGCGGTTTGCTGGCAGTCATGAGGAGTTCATGGCCTCCCCGCTGTACGCGGAGGTTCTCGCCGACGACGCGAGGCAGCAGCAGCAGCAGCGACAGGAGGAGGCAAAGAAGGCGGAGGAGGTGAGCGATGTCCTGGACGGCGCGCCCGTGGCAGACGGTGGTGCGCCACTCGGGGCGGCGGCCCCTGGCGGCGCGGGCGCAACGATGATGACGGTGGAGGAGAAGGCCGTCGGGTCCGTGCCGTGGTCAACGTACGCGGCGTACTTCGTGCGTGCGGTGGTGTCCCCGCGGTGGTGGCGGTTTTGCTCCTCTTCCTCCTCACCGAGGTGCTGTCCTTGTCCTCAAACGTGTGGCTCTCGATGTGGTCGACGCGGCGCTTCGGTCTGTCCCCGGGGACATACCTTCAAGCGTACATCGCCCTTGTGGTTTGCGGGGCTGTCACGACGCCGCTGCGCTTCAGTGTGGCATACAACGCCATGAGGCGAGGCTCGCGCAACCTGCACCGTCTCATTCTTCGCTCCGTTACCACCGGCACGGTGCAGTTCTTTGACACCACCCCGCTTGGCCGCATCGTCAACCGTTTCTCCCGCGACATTGACCGCCTTGACGATCAGCTGCAGATGACGTTTATTTTCTTTCTGCAGGTTCTGTACGGCATATTCTCCTCACTTGCTGTGACCGTCGAGTCACAGCCGTATGTCCTTGTGGCTTTGCTTCCCACAGTGTTTCTGTACTACAAGTTGATCTTTTTCTACAGCGTCACCAACCGAGAAATTCGTCGCGTCGGCAGCATTGTGAAGGCGCCGATGGTGTCACTTCTGGGCGAGGTGCTTGTGGGGTCCTCCACCATCGGCGCCTACGGCTCTACAGCATCCGTTCTGAGAGAGGCACTGCGACGGATAGACCGTGTGTATGCCTCATCCTTCCTTGAGAACGCGACGAATCGCTGGTTGGGGGTCCGAGTCGATTTTTTGGGGAATGTCATTGTTGTCAGCATCGCCCTTCTCGGCGTTGTTGGCACGATGCTGCGTTTCGGCACACACGACATTGGTCTTGTGTCGCTCAGCCTCACCATGGCCCTGGCGTCCACGTCGCAGCTGAATTGGCTTGCGCGGATGGTTGGCAGTATGGAGGCGGATATGAACAGCGTCGAGCGCATTTTGTACTACGTCCACAACATCGACCACGAGGCGATGCCTGAGCTTGATGGGCTGGTCGAGGAGCTGCGGGAGAGGAAGGCCGCGGGCGGCGATGCCACGGCGACCGTGTTGGTGGAGGCCGTCGGCGATGGCGGCGAGGCACGGCACCCGGAGGCGGCGGCGGGGTGGCTGGAGCTCCGCGAGGTGGACATTCGGTACCGTGTGGGGCTGCCGCTCGTGCTGGACAAGGTCAGCTTTCGCATTGAGCCGCGGCAGAAGGTGGGGATTGTGGGCCGCACCGGCAGCGGCAAGTCGACGCTGCTGCTCGCGTTCATGCGGATGGTGGACATCTGCGGCGGCGACATCGTCGTGTCGGGGCGACCGATCCGCGCGTACGGGCTGCGGGAGTTGCGGCGGCAGTTCTCGATGATTCCGCAGGACCCGGTGCTGTTCGGCGGCACGGTGCGCTCGAACCTCGACCCCTTCCTTGAGTCGACGCCGGAGGAGGTGTGGGATGCGCTGGGGCTGGTGGGGATGCGGGAGCGTGTGGCGTCGGAGAGCGGCGGCATCTACAGCCGCGTGCAGGAGGGTGGGTCGAACTACAGCGTGGGCCAGCGGCAGCTGCTGTGCTTGGCGCGTGCGCTGCTGCGGCGGGGCAGCGGCTTTATTTTGATGGACGAGGCCACGGCCAACATCGACCACGCCCTCGACCGGCAGATCCAGCACACGGTGATGACGGCCTTCAACTCCCGCACCGTCATCACCATCGCCCACCGCCTGCACACGGTGGCGGCGTACGACAAAATCATCGTCATGGACCACGGCAGCGTCGCGGAGACGGGCTCCCCGCGCGAACTTGTGTCGGACCCGTCGTCGATGTTTTTTGGGCTTGTGGCGGCGCTGGGGAAGCAGGGGGTCGCTGGATTTATGGCGAGAGTGGGGCTTGCGGCGGCCCCATGATGGGCGGCGGCTGTGAGTGACGCCCAGACAAGGAGGGCGGCGGCAACTTTCTTTGGTTGAGGCCCGTCATGTGTGTGTGTGCGCGTGTGCACGCGCGTGGGGGGCGGGAGGAACTGTTTGCTGCCCGCGGCGGCGAAGGAGACGCGCTTGTGAAGAGAATGTGTGGTGGGGGAGGGTCGCCTTTGTGCTTTGTCTCACTTGCCATGGAACGATGACCGCTGGTTGTCTCCACTGGGGCCTTATCCTTGTGGTGGCGTGCTGCTGCGTGGGTGTGAGGATCGGTCCCTGTTTTGACTTTTGCCCGTCCCTTCCGATCTCCATCCACGCGGCGGGTTATTGCGGGGGCAGGAACCCCGCAGCCGCGAAGGCCGCATGGGGGGTGGCCGTGTTTGGAGGGCCACATGCGGGCCTTTGCTTTCCCTTGCGCGGTCGCCTGGGCCTCGCCAGCAGGTGTTGTGTGGGGGCGGAACTCATATCCGTCGCAGGGCGCCAGGTGCGACGAGCGCGGTGCCGTGACCAAATATTAGTTGTGCGTTTGTCGCTGGGCACGGACCTCGCCGTGCATATTTCTCTCCCTGTGGTGTCATGGGGTGCCTGCATCCCCCTGTTTCTCTGTGTCTGGGCGGGCAGGTGGAAATGCGGCGGCTGCGTGCGTGTCTGTGGAATAGTGGATCAAAAGAATTGCGGAGTGTTGTCGCGGCAGGGCCGTGGCTGTGTTGCTCTGCCGCGTGTGCGTTGGCGTGCTGCACCCCCTCTTGCCGCCCCGCCGCCGCATCCAACTGCTGCCCTTCTACCGCTAATTTTTCTTGGGGAGGGAGTGGGAGGGAAGCAGCGCTCGAGAAGAACTGGAGAGGGTGGAATGGCGGGAGTGCCAGTTGAAAATGCGAAGTTTCCCGCGGCTGTTGTTACCGGAGCAGCGCAGCGCATCGGCCGCGGTATTGCCTTGCGGCTGCACCGGCAGGGATTCCGAGTCGTCGTGCACTACCGTCACTCCGTAGGGGCGGCGCAGCGTCTCGTTACGGAACTTAATGCCTCTCGTGCCGGGTCCGCCGTGCCGTGCAAGGGGGACCTTGGCCTCAGCGACTCTCTCCTCGACTGCTGCGAGGGCATCATCGACTGCTCCTTCCGTGCCTTTGGCCGATGCGACGTGCTGGTCAACAACGCCTCCGCGTATTACCCGACCCCGTTGCTTCCCGCAGACGGCACTGGCGACGCCGCTGACGCCAAGCCGATTGATGCGCAGGTCGCTGAGCTGCTTGGCGCAAACGCCATTGCGCCGCTTTTTTTGATTCGGGCGTTTGCCCGCCGGCAGGCTGAGGGGAGCGGGTT